TGAACGTAAAAACTTTGTAAAGCAAATCGTTAGCAATGAGGCTGCCGATTTTAGCATACAATTTTTAGAACGTTCAGAATGTGAACATATAGGTATAAATTACTCTTGATTTAAATAAAACATTTCCAGGGTTGAAATAAAAACAAGGAGCATTTACGATGTTTATACTTATCCATTAAAATATAGTCTTATTTTTTAACAATTAGGTTTTGGTATTTTTAAACCCAAAGTTCCAATCCTTTAGATTCTTCTTCCTATAGAGATACTTTGCACTACTATTGTCGAACAGCTTGAAGTTACCGAACTTAGTAACCGAAGGGTTATAGAAAGTCTTGAAAAATAAATACATGCTACAATTTCATACACGCATGAAACCTTTGTTTTGATAGGACAGGTATAGTAGTTATCAAATCGCCTACAAAGGATAAATGGCATCATTTATCAACTTTCAAAAACATATTATATTACGAGTAGATATGAGCAAACAAACATTCACAATTCTTTATTACTTACCAAAAAAACCGGGCAGCTACGAGTCGTATTTTTTTATTAAAACTATTTTATTTTTTTGGAGTTATTCCTTTATTTGTGCTGTAAGACGTTTCTTTTTTCCAAATTTCGTGATTCTAGGTCAACGGGAACTACCATATAGGTTTTCGACCCAAAACCTATAGGGTACTTCCGGTTGACCTAGAATTGTCAATTTTGGCAAAAAGAAACGTACAATCGAACCCGAAACCTTAGCACAGCAGTCGCATACTCTACCACTGCACCACCAAGGCAGAGTTTCTTTTGATTTGATTTTGAAAACTGACAGAGTGTCATAAATGAATTGTTCTTTATATTCTTATATAAGTAAAGGAGAAGAAGTTCTTTTCGGTTTCCGTAGAAAAAGCGTCCCTTACGTAATGTATTTCACATTGCCTGTTGAACAAGAGGCGACCCCGCCTCTGCATGATCAACAGGCGTCAAAATCTGTCGCAGTTCACAGGGTTTTACTCTTATCCGGTCAGGTACGAGTCGAACTCGTGCGCCGAGGGTTCCGTACCTACCCTGATTTTACGTAGATTTTTGCGAAAATTTGTAAGTCCCAAAATTTATCTTAATTTTCATATTTTTTTAATTTTTGGAATTATTCCTATATTACTGCTGTAAGATGTTTCTTTTTGCCAAATTTCGTGATTCTAGGTCATCGGGAACTACCATATACCTACTAATAGGGTTTTCGACTCAAAACCTATAGGGTACTTTCGGTTGACCTAGAATTTTCAATTTTGGATAAAAGCGAGGTCTTAAAGCACAAGTAAAGAGAAAATTCTGAAAAATAAAAAAAGTTGAAAATTAAGGTAAATTTTAGTACTTATAAGTTTTCGCGAAAATCGAAATTTGCCCATATCTTTTTATCGTGTTGACTCAGGACCTTGACCTAATAGGGACCAATGACCTCAGTATCTGGTATAAATTTCAACTTGCTAGGTCTACCCGTTCCTGAGAAAATCGGCGGTGACACACGGACAGACGGACAAGAAAGTGATCTTATAAGGGTTCCTTTTTTACCTTTTGAGGTACGGAACCCTAAAAATATAAATTTGAGAGACTGATGAAAGTTCGTAAAAATGTACCTTATAATAAGAGACTTATAATTTAAAATAATTGCTTTTAAACCACTGCATAATATTTGCTAGTGTAACACTCGTAAATGATCAATAAGATATTTATTTGACTTTCAGGAATTAAATACAGCGTGATTATTTCGTCAGTTCGTGAAACGAATTGGAAAAAAATGTGTGATCATAATTTCAAAAAACCCCTAATGCAAACAAGTTTATGCAGAATGTCAGAACAAGTGGACTAAAACTGAATTGCACAACGATATTTAAGCATTGCGATCTGCGCGAGCGTAGTGTTTGTTGTAACGTTATAATATATACAGTAGACCTCGTAATGTATATGGCCCCGTACGAGTGATGTAGTAGCGTCCAAAAGAATATCAATTTTACTAGTATCCTTTTATATTTGTTTTATAATTTTTTATAAATATTTTTTCTTAATTATTTTATAAATAATAAACTTTTAATTTACTTATAAGCGTTTTTTTTTGCAGTATTTGATTGCAAAAGAAATATGATACCAAATCATTTTCTATAGTTTTGAAACATCAAACTGATCTAGCCGATTTCACGAGTAAAATAGTTATTGCAATACCAACTATCGTATGTGTGCTGTGTCCATTGTATCGAAAGACAATCGTGAATAACGTCAGTTGGAGCGTCAGATGCGGAGTGGTAATGTGGTAAGAGTGTAATGAGAGGGTCGGTTGGTCCTGTGTGGCACCGCGCGATGGAGCGCGGCCGGCCGTTGCGGGGCGGGAGGGCGCGCGGAAGGAATGCGTCGTTTTCGCATCGGGAGAAACGAATGCGTTTAAGCGTCGCGGGTATACAATGGCGGCGTGACGAGATCCGGTTCGCGGGCCGCGCGGGGGCAGGGGACGGGGGCTCTAATCGATAGCCGGCGAGCGACGGCCGGGCGACTGTAGCGCATAGGTGACAGCTCGGGCCCAATCAAATTACCGGCCGTGGAGGAGAACTGCAGTGCCACGCACGCTGGAGAAATACACGCCGACACTGTCACCGCCGCCGCCGCCACCGCCCGTGCTTACCCCGCGTTCCGCCACCGAAACTGCACCGACCCAGCTCCTGTTGCCTCATATACCACCACCTCACATATGTTCGCCTATGCAACACATTGACAAATAGTCCTCACCTATCACGTCGCCCAATACGCGAGAACCACCCCTAAATGCCCCACTATGGATTTACAATTTACAAAACACTACAACTACACTAAAAGATTTCTAAAGTGCCATAATTAGGTAGTCGTTATGCTATTATATTATGCAATCATAAAATTCATAAAATTAAATAAACGAAACACAATTTTTCACTAACAACACAAACTCAAAAAACGTCGAGATCTTAAAACAAAACAAGATTACAATGTCTACAGATGTATTCAAAACATGGAATAAAATGTTACATTCCTATATTTGAAAATCAATTATTGAGATAGAGGCTATTCGTATGTTATGGGTTGTTGTCATGTTGTGTAAATTGCTGGGACTTAGCAAATGACATTATTATGATATCTTTAACAAAACAAAAATAGTTCAGTTTTTCTTTATTTTTTTTTAAAAGATAACTTCCGCATTATGAATATATCCTATGTGGCGGGTGACTTTACAAAAATCATGAAACGGACACAAAGAATACCCAGACACAGAACAACAATTTGTGAATCACACAGAGTGACGTCCCATGTGGGGATCGGACCCACAACACTCAGCATGGTAGTGAGTGGCGTGGGGACCGCTTAAACCACTGCGCCATCCGTGCAGTCAACGTTACTTTTACGGAAGCGATGCCGCAGAAAAAAGATAGTTCAGAAATAAAAACGCTTCGAAACGACGAATCGCTTAGTTAGGTCAAGAGGTTTTGTGCAAAGAAAAGCTGCTTTTCGTTAGAAGTTTCATAACACTATCATGTACGTTCAACTTACAAATATTTTATTTTGTCTAGGAATTGTAGTTTAAAATAGTTAAGACATGCGCCAATGAGCAAACGACCAATTTCCTGAATCAAATACATCAAGGGATATAGCGCAAACGACACATCTCCCAATTCCGCGGCTGAGAATTGGTGTACACGCATCTATTTTAGTTTATTCCACTCGCGTACTATTCAACAGATCCACGTTGTACCATTAACGACCTGTGCACGAATGTCTACCCTATATCTACACATAGGCACGGTTTAATATACTACGTACGCGGCCGGTGAATACAGAGAAATGTGATGTAACCCTTCACTCGTGCTGAACTCTATGCGACCGCTGTGGTGAACTACCCGCCAAAGATATAAAACCGCAGTAAAGGAAATAGGAATGTCGCACCGTAAAAATCAAACTTGACATTGAAAGGAAAATTAAATCAAAAGGTTGCATAAAAAGCTAACGACGCCGTAAAGTTTCGACAAATCGATCTTTCCTGTGTCGGTACTGTCAAGGCTTATTTCGATGAAGACCCAAATAAGTGTGCTTTTATAGGTAGGTAATGAAGTGACCACCGCAATTAAATCGATGACATCATAGCCTCGATGCGTGGCGTGATGGGAAATAAAAGCACAATTCAATCAACGGGACGGCGGTGACGATACGTTGGCCCAATCCATGTTAAACATGAACAGTCAGTTTATTATTTTTATTAACTACAATAAATATTATGCATATGCAGCAGACGCGAGCGAGCTTCTAAAGTATTTATTGAGAGATATTTACTATCAGAGTAAAATGAGTCGTTGTCTTTGTATAAATAGTACAATTTAGAAATTAAATTTTAGTTCAAAATTAACATTTGAATTATTAGGAGAAGAAATATTTTCAATATAGAATGTAAGCAATGGATTTAATAAACTTACATCTACTACTCTAGACCTTAGTCAAATGTGTGGCTTGGCCGTTTCGCTACCATCACATGGACATACGGTGAAAAATTGACTTACTGTTCATTACTTTTCTGTTATACAATAGTTCTAATAGTAACGAAACAGCCAACACATATGTTGACTAAGGTGTAGAGTTCGTGAAGTTAGGGCGTGTAGAGTTAAAAGCTTGGGCTCTATATGCGATCAGAAGGTCAATTCTCGTTATAAAAAATAGGTCAAAATTCAGTTCCGATCAACTCTCGATCTCACAACTGTCATAACAGGTATTGAGCCGAGATTTGGCCTTCTGATAACTTTTTGACACTGCGAGTCATTTAGTCTTGGCAACATTTAACATGAAAATGTTTTTGGTGGGATTAATCTTTACTATAAATATATCAAGGCTTACTAGAACTATGAGTTCTATTAAAAAATTTAGGTGAATCTCACTTACGATATAGTTCACCTTAACCTTGGCACTAGGGTAAAACTGTCGTTAGATATACATAAGATTTAACTTACCTAGCGCAGGGTCGAGGACTGCTTGTGCCGCTTGTTCCTCGCCGACCGGCGTCTTAAGGCATATTTTTTTGAGTTTCATTGCGACTGGTGAGTCTTCTGACTGGGCCACTGCAACATAAATACTATGTTAATAGAGGATAATGTGGTTTGAATGATACGGATTATTATAACCAACACTTTTTTTTCGCCATAATTAGAAGGCTAATTCAAAGTACTTCATTCAGCACATAATAGACGTTAATTAGGATCATGTTAATCTTAAATCAAATTACATACTATTTAGAACCTAACTTCCTCATACATTTAATCGTTGCAGGCAGGGGCCTGGGCCTCAATTCTGCTATTTTATGTTTACGCCAAGCCAGTGTCATACCACTGACACGCTATTGAGATGCCATCGAGTAGCCATTGGCATCGGTATAAATATCGGTAGTTGAAAATATATTACGTTTTTTGAGGAAATGATTTTTATATGGTTGGTATGGTTTTTATTATAATATTATTATTATTTTTTATTTTTTTTATAAGTTATTTTAATTTATTTATTTCTTTTAATAATTTATTATACTAAAATATTAATGAAATCAGTCGACTAAACACTGAAAACAATCACCATCAGGACATCTATACAAATAAATAAAATTGGCGTGTCTGTTTTTAATATTAAAATAACCGCTTTTTACTAAATGCATATGTATGTTTACACGGTACATATGCCAAAATAACATTTTTTCAATTTTTGTGTGTCTGTCTGTTTGTTCCGGGTAATTTCTGGAACGGCTTTTCGACGGCAATTTTCACTGGCAGATAGCTGATGACGTAAGGAGTAACTTAGGCTACTTTTTTTAGACTAGCTTCGCCCCGCGGCGTTGCCCGCGGTTATAACAACAAACGCAAGTAACACCGCGGGTCTCAGCTAGTATTATCTAAAAGGTGTATGATACTCGTACTAAAATGCCACAGTTTAACAGTTTGATCAGTGCATTAATATAATTCGTATTATCCGGATGGTGAAGGATTAAGAATACGGAGTGTCATCACCCCTATTTATCCCGTGGGTGTCATAAGAGTCGACTAATGGAGCAAACTACGAGGGACAACAGCACTGCAAAGAGAAGGAAAACTTGACACAAACCCTACACCAACCCGTCCGGCCATCGTGGTATAGTATGCCAAAATCTCCTTTCTAAGGCAAGTCCTATGTCCAGCAGTGAAGAAATTAAGGCTGTTAATGAGATGATGATGACTATTAGTAATACATAAGTAAGATTGTTGTATTGTAACTTGACATAGATCTTGCTATAATTGATCTTGATCTATTATTCGTTTTTATAACATTCAATTCCTACCACATAATTATAAGTCATAATGAAGTGTAAACATAAGATTACGAAAGTAGGGAAGTGGTACAATAGGCGGCCTTATCGTTGCAGGGAATGTCTACCTGTTAACCGATGGATGGAAATGGAATACGTATATCTCGTATACGTATTCCATTCAAATTCCAAGATATAAAAATACTAAACCTAACATATTTGTGTAAATATAATGGAATACAATATTTTATATTAACAATATCGTTAATATATTTTAATCTTTCAATAAATATGTATGATTGAAAAGGTTTCTGACAGAATAGTATGACTGTCTAATTAAAACAATTTCTCTTCATTTAATCTAAATACAATGAATTATGGATAATGTTGTACATCTTAAAGGTTTGTGATGTTACATAATATAGCTATTGTCAAATCAATTATTGGTATGATAATTAACTAAACAATAATAATAAACGGGAAAATATTTATAAATGTACCTAACCCAATTTTCTCGAGACTGTTAAAACTACAGTAAAAACTCTAGGATTTTGACTGTTATTCAAGATTAAAGATTTAACTATAATCAGCTGAACTAAAATGACCTGTTAAATATTTTGGGAAAATAATACCTACGTTTTAAATATTTATTTGCATGTTAAATATACAATGATGCTAATAAGGCGATAGACTTTTTTATTTGTCTGACGGTATATTTGAACCCGTTAATTTCTAGATCTGTCAGTCAGATTTTAATAATTATTTTTGTACTGCGGATAATCGGTGTCTAGCCAAATAGCTATCGGTTTCATCTCTATTCGCAATGGCTAATTTTATTATAGACATGTCATATCAACTAGTGACTGCCTCGGTGGTGCAGTGGTAACGTATGCGACTGCTGTGCTGAGGTCTCGGGTTCGATTCCCGGGTCGGACCAAATGTTTGTATAGTCTGCAAATGTTTGTTTCGGGGTTTGGGTGATATCTATGTATAATATGTATGTATTTCTAAAAAAATTATATGTATTATATCAGTCAATCTAGCTTTCATCGTACAATCTCTGCTTAGTTTTAAACTAGTTAGCGTTGTGTCAGATGTCCGAAAAAATAGTATTACTAGTTAGTTGCCCTTGTCTATACTTTATAGATAGATAAGATGGAAAAGGCTTCGTTCCAACAAAAAATCTATTCAATAAAATGTTCTCCACTTGGCTTCAGGTATCGGCGCCCAGCTGATGCACTATGTTGTTATATACATGTATTGTTGTTCATTTCCACTGATAATATTATTGAAGAGGTAAGTGCAACCTCTGGGTAAAATATATTGTTTTCATTAGTTAACGAAAAAAGGATCGAGGGTATATTAACGAAAAAAAAAACGTAGGTCATAGCTAGTCTCAGACCAACTTATAATAAGTTTGAAGTAATCATTAGTATCAATTTTAAATATAGACAAAACATAATATCTTCTGTTTTCTGTTGCCAGCCTCAAACGAAGCACGAATCACTGTGCGTCACGTAGTTTGTAATGTGCGTGATATTTGGCATTTCTTCCACGATTAATCGTTCATTTACCAGAACCGTTAAACTTTATGATTGAGGGACAATAGTCAATTAAAAAGTTGCCTCGTGTGCTCGGTGTTTCTTTATAATTATTTTCAACATGGGATCAGAACATACGAAAGCCGACAGTCAATTTAAAAGAAAAAAACCTTAGCATAATTGATATTTTTTATTGCATAATAGGTGTCCTGTGTTTCAAAAGCTGTAAACTAATTAAATAGTTTTTTTATATAGTTATATATAAGAATGCTTCTAAATTTTAATCAATTTTTAAAATTTATTTTTTAGGAACAATTTTTTTGCAAAAAATAACACCACTCATATCAAAATAAACAACACTACAACAAGGGCAATTGGTTTAACGCTAAATCGTAAAGTTCAAGTTAGGTTTGAACAAATTTGCAAAACGAATTAGCATATAAACATAATATTTTGGGCCATATTCTATCAAAATCACCAACTGCGAATATGGTACTACATATTTTGAAACTTTCACAACCTTCAAAACATTCAACAACTACACTTGGAACCCTAAACAAATCGGTCCAGTCTATTCTCAAGTACTGCGCTTATTAACAAATAGCTTAATTCTTATAATTATATTATTATATGTGTTTTATCTGTGTATATATAATTATGTACTAAGTTTTGCCCGCTGCTCCGCCCGCGTGTACGCAATGTAGCCTTCCATTGGTGAAAGAATTTTTAAAATCGGTTTAGTGGCTTAGATGTAAAAGCGTAACAAACAAACTCACTTTCTAATTTATAATAAGTATGGATATACATGCGAGTATGTATTTAAATATAAATCTATGAGAAAATTTGTTTGACAACAAGCGTTTTTTTTTAAAGAACGTTAATCCTAGCTATATAATAAAATAAAACTGCTTTCTATTGCAAACATTTATCACTTCACTATCTACATAATTTGTAACAAGAGACAACGTACTGGTTAAAGAGTTAAAATGGAAATTCCTCTTCGAATAATATTATACTAGTAAAAAAAGTACTAATAATAAATAAAGATGAGGTATACATATTGGTTAATTAATTGCTTTTACATAATATGTATACTTGGAATGTGCCAGTGTGCCAGGAGTCGTCTGCGACCTTGACGGGCTGAGCGTCGGCCACCGGAGACCGGGACGCCCCGGTCGTCGGCGGCGCGATTCGAGAACCCGGGTAAAGGTTCCCGTACACTGACTGTATTGCCGCGACCTACACCAACCTCCAATATAATATTTATGACGAAGATTATACTTCAAGGTTTAGTAGATTTATACAGACACTTCAAAGTTTAGTAGATTTGGTTTTAGTGCTGTTTAAATTCAGGCACAAAAATTATTGTGTTGATGGTGAGATATATCTTAGTTTATTTTACTTATTTTAATAACTAAATTTCTGTATAACCTTCTTTAAAGTGGCAATAACATTGCTTGTTGTATATCTAATACTGTTGCAGTTAGGATTAAGAAATTATTGCGGGACTAAGTATTGCTTTAGGGTCATTTGGTTTGCAGTGTACGCCGTGTGTCACATATATCGTGCGGTGCCATGTCGCTAGTGTGTCGCGGTGGCTACGGCACGGGCAGGTGCAAGCGAGGCTGCACGCTGCGCCGCGCGGAGGCTGCGGCCACCCTCGCCACCCCGCGTCACCCTCAAACCCCCCCGTAACCCTCCCGCGCACGCCATCTTAACAAATCGATAGGATATGACTGTTCTCCACTTCGCGGGTGCGACTTTTGGGCGCGGACTGAATGACCCCTCTTGATTGCGTAACGCAAAGCGCGTGAACAATGGAACCGAGCGAGATTTGGCTAAAGAAATTTTGCGAATAAAACGAACAAAGTGAAAAAGTAAAATCTAATAATATTATTAATCTTACTAATAAAACGAAGTGCTTTTAATTTTTTTAGGATATACAAACAGAATTTCTTATAAATATTGCCGCTAACCTGTTATTGCTTCATTCTCAATAAGTTCCAAGGTGGTTACCGACAAACCGTATTTGGTGAAACATGTAATCCGCCTGTAGCCTACTAAAGAGTAAACGTTAATCGTTATCCATTAAAAGCCGGTAACTAATAAAGAATTTTTTTGTATAGGACAGTCCACAATATAATGTGAACTATATCAAGAACTTTACATGAACGTAGAGGTAAATGTGAACTGCAAAATAAAACCTTTACATAATAGTTATTTTCACACCATAAACCTTGATTTTGAAACG